ACAGCTCTTTCTTTTCTGGTAGAAGTTTATATCTAAGTTTGTACTGTTTTTCCCTTTCAATAGCCCAAGAGAAATGGAGCGCTCCCTCCCAGAGCAGCTGGAACACATGGCTTCGCTGGTGCTCCCTCTTCAGATCCAGCCACCTGTGTCCTCTCAGAAACTGGACAGGTAGACAGACATTTCCAAGAAAGAGGTTGCAAATATTAGGGCGCAGGGACAAACAACATCACTGCGAGGCTCTTGCTAGCACACTGGTAACGCATCATCTCTGGAGAGGCATTGCACCAAATGTTGTACCAATCGTTATACAGGTATTCTTTCATCTCTGTGAACAAATAACCTATTGCTTCCACCATCCACTTGTACACAACAAAACATAACGTATTGGGTTTGCTTTCAAAGCAAACATGGTAAATGAAGCAAGGGATCTACAAGACATTTTTTTTAAGATGCTCAACAGCAAGTTGCAGTTGTGCAACTCTTTCAGATGCAAACCTTGTTTTCGGCTTATCCCTTCAGTTGTCTCGCAACAGGAATTTCCACAATTGCTTGCTCGCATGTGTTTTTGTGTGGGCACGTGGGCACATTGGCACATACAAGCTGATAGATACATTGCATCACTGCAAAAAGTGGTGCAATTTTACCCAGAGGTCCGTTTTCCTCAGAAAACTGACTGTTGTATGTGTGAAAGGCTGCCCCAACAAGTGCAACTATTATTGGTAAAACTTAGTAGCATACAACAGGCTGGGACATTCTCATACTAAAATTATTAATTTATTTAAATTAACAAACAGGTGTTTGTTAGAGGTGTTTTTCCCAAACAACCTGTAAAAACTCTGTGGTAGGCATTCAGGATTTCTTGCCTGCTGAAAGAATATAAGTTTATAAGACAAGTAATTTGTAGACTATCTCCATTCTTCAAAAAGACAATATGCTGCTGAATGACAATTAAAATAGTTGAAACAGCAGGTGCTACAGTTGTTCCAAATGAAAAGTTCACTGTGACCTAACAGCAGAAGAGGAACCCAAACGAGTAGCCTCTGCTTCTGTTAATCTTTGCTCTAACCACAAGTGTAGAACATCTCAGCTATGTACTTTGTTTTACATAATTAAGAATGTATCACTAGACAAATTTATCTTGTGACTTTTAATAATTTCTTTTTTGAGTGCATCTTGTCAAGTTCACATATGCATCTAAGTTATTCTAATACAACCTTACTATGCAGTCCTCAAGACCTCATTTGGGATAACGAAATTGCTGGTACAAAAGCCTTGGTCAACCTCCACAAGTTATCGCAAGGATTACTAACAGAACAAAAAGTATTCAAGCAAGACACTGCAAACCATATTTTATTAGTAGGGGATTTTTGGAAAAGATGTAGGCAGTCTGAATAGAAGTGTCTCTGTCAAAAATTGGTATAGACATTATACCAAATAGCAAGCATACATGTTTTCTCCTTCTGGAAGGGGCAGAACAGAGTTAATTTTCACACTACTTATATTCAAGAAAAATTTTTCAGTATCAGATATTTTCTAACAGAAAAAAAATCTGTCAAAGCTGCTGAAAGGGGAAGGGAGCACGAGTGAAGTATGACAAATAAATGGGATATTGTTTAAACAGAAGGCAGTTCTAGCATTTGACCGAGTTGATAGTATGCTTTTCACCAATGTACCTTGCTCTTGAAATGCAAGAATCGTAGAATCATTTAGGTTGGAAAAGACCCTTAAGATCATCAAGTCCAACCATTAACGTAACACCAAGTCCACCATTAAACAGTGTCCCTAAATACCACATCTACACGTCTTTTAAATACCTCCAGGGATGGTGACTCCACCACTTCCCTGGACAGCCTGTTCCAAGGCTTGACAAGACTTTTGGTGAAAAAATTTTTCCTCGTGTCCAATCTAAACCTCCCGTGGCCCAACTTGAGGCCATTTCCTCTCGTCCTAGCACTAGTTACTTGGGAGAAGAGACCAGCACCCACCTCACTACAACCTCCTTTCAGGTAGTTGTAGAGAGCAATGAGGTCTCCCCTGAGCCTCCTCTTCTCCAGGCTAAACAGCCCCAGTTCCCTCAGCCGCTCCTCATAAGAGTTGTGCTCTAATGAACTGCCTCAAATAAATTCTGTACTTTACTTAAGGAAGGTTCCAACAGTATAATGAGAACATAAAACAAACACAAAGAACAAAATCTTCTTCTCTTTTTTTTTTAATAATCCAATTAACTGGCATTTCTAAATGCACTGACATTCACACCCCATAGGCCTTCACTTTTCCATTTCTGTAACAAGAGAAAGAACACAGATAAGCTGTCAGAGCCTCATGTTTCAGATCCCCATCCTGCTGTAGGTAAACCATAAATTATGTGAGCAAACCAGCTAAACTTTTAGTCAAGATAAATATTTAGCAGCATAGCACCAGAGCAAAACTGAGGCATCAGTACAAGTTTTCCATAAATGATAAAGACTACTGACTACAGAGAGCTACAGCTCTTGAATATAAGGAGACATACTGAACACTGAGCAGTTTCTCTCACTGTTTACTATTAAAAGAATCTTTGCCTTTTCATAAAAGGCCAAAAAAAAAAAACCAAAAAAGAGGTGGTGGATTAGAGACTGAAGTGCTGCAGCCAGATACTTTTTACTGGTTGTTTGTCCCATTAGTGATTTTTTTAAAACAAATAATCCTAAAGATATGAGATATTAATTCACCATAAACTATGCAAGCATTTAAACACCTAGAGGAAATAGTGCTCTTTGAATCCTGTAGAGTATTTTTTCCCCTGAAACAGATTTTGATAGCTGGATGATTTAGATACCAAGATTTAAAAAACTGCCACAAGGATGTGATAGGGTTTAGAAATATCTAGATATAGGAGACTAGGTTTCTAAAATTGTTTTCAGAATATGCTTTAAGCGATCCTGTTGAACTTCGATTGTCTGCTAACTCCACTTTAGCATTGAGGGGTAAATCATCCTCCCCACCATCCTCTCCCCAGGGAACTTCATGACTGAGTGTTCATCAAGACAGCTAGGATCAAATGTCAAATTAGAGTGCGATAACAAAAACAACAGGGGAAGCTTCAAACTTCCTGTAAAACACTAAGGAAAGATGTAAACACTAAAGAAGTGATTAAACAATTTGAGAATCAAGTAATGACACTAGCATCAAAGGAATGGGTATTCCTATGTTCTCCCAAAGCTAGACTTTTCGGATATCGTCTGAGAGCAGGATCGGTCACCCCAGTCAACGTTATGAGGAGCGACCGGCAGTCCGATGGCTTAGCTGTAGGTAAGTTATCATCACTGCAGGACTAGCAATTTCTGTCCCCTCCTTCCTTTGGCTATTTTCAGTCAATAACAATAGAATTTTTATTTGTTTTTTACACTTATTTACACCACGTAAGAAATCCTTAATGATAGCCGAGGCTTCAGTGCAGTAAGTACTGTATAAACAAGGCAGGAAGGAGAGGAGGAAGAAACAACTGTTAAGCAGAAGCTTGGGTCACAAAGTCCTTTTTCGCTGCCCATTTCCTGAATGTACTTTTTTTTAAACCAATATATACAATTTTAAATACACATCAGATATGTTACTTTGATTACTACAGCAGTGTAACTCACCAGCAAAGACAGAATTTTGAGCTTTAAACAAAGCTTACTGCAATACCATAATGGAAAACTCAGCATCTGACAAAATTATATTACCAATTTGTTTTGAAGAACTTAACCCAACATACACAGCATAGACAGATCAGAAGACGAAACAAAATCAAACAAAAGTTTGATTTCCATAGATTTAAAAAGTATATTAGCAGGAGATTTGGGGGGGGTTGCAGGTTTTTTTTGTTTATTATTATTATTTAGTTGTCAGGGGTTTTTTTTGGGGGGGTAGGTTTGGTTTTTTTGGTTTTGGTTTTTTATGTTTTCTGTAGAATCTCTTAGATTTTTCAGCAATTCTAAAAAAATTCTTTAATATCACAAGCATGCAAAGGACACAGATGTGCCTGAAACTTGAAAGTCGGTATGCTTGGGATCCCATCATGTTTTTGAAACCCTTCTGGAGTCCCTCAGGAGAAAAATGTACGGGTGTGAGAACTGACATTAATAAAACAAGCAGCACTAAAAGATTCCAGATTTTTGGAATATAAAATCATCTGGACCTTTATCAACAGGAGAAGACACTTGATTTTTTTTTTTAAACAGCATAGTATCGTAAGAAATCTTAAGGTTTTTTTATAAAGTTAGAAAACGTTACACAATTGTTAACAGTGGTAGACCGGCCTAAGAATCCCAAATAAAGAATGCCTTCCAAAAATAGCGTTGAGTAAGAAAACACATACTGAATATTGAGATAGTTATCAAATTTGAGAGGTAGATGACAATCTATTATTTGAGAAAGGTAGTACTACAGCTGTTTATGTAAATGGCATTAAGTATTATCTATACAGTGTCCATATCTGTGAAAGAGTGCAAAGAGGAGGAAGAACACTGTCTCTCACTTAACAGCAACTATATTCATCTAATGTCCTTGGTCTGCATCATCGGTTCTCCTGGAGATGCAGGTGGGGGGAAGAAAGGATTAGGAAGGCAAGGAAAGAAAAAAAAAAAATCAACCCCGTTTGTGTATGCAGGCAAATAACAGGCAGAACACACCATCCAGATTGCAGTGAAGGTGTTTGGGCTTACAGTACAATCCTCAGGACAACGTGGCTACATCAGGTGGAAACAGCAGAAGCCTGTATAGGCAGAAAAGGAAGCATCAGAAGTCCTGTACCGTACTTTCCACGATGTTAATTCAGACACACTGCCTAATGTATTTATGATGGTGCTCCACTGTTGGAAGAGCTTTTCTGTTCCTATTCACCATGTCCATCAGATTCTGGGTTTTCATTAAGAGGAAAAGCATTAACTAATAGCAGCACTGATGCAAAGGCTTTGTCACAGTGATGATCAGGGTGTGTTGTTAACCAGCCAACACTTGTAAAGTGTTAGCTGTTACAAAAAGCAGCCACATCAAAAACATTGTTAAAAGCACAGCTCAGTACACAAATGGGATCACAATTTTTCTGCACTTTGGGTAGTCTTCAAATTTCTCAAGGTACCATCTGAAAAACAAAGACAGAAATCTGATGAGTACTGAGTCTTCAAAATGCTGAGGAGGAAATTAAGTAATTGTACATTGCGGTCAATTTAATCCATATATTTTCTGGCTACAAACCAGAAAAAAAATGCCTTTAGAACCTTCTCCAGATAGAAAACTGCCATTTACCACACTCATCCTAATGACATCTAATCACCAACTACAACAAAACAAAGTTACTGCTGCCAGCAATGGGAAATCAAACTAACAGATGTGACGAGAGCAGCCAGAGAAAGAATAGCCTGTTGTTGTAAAATGTATGTTGTTATGCATCCTAAGTATTTGTATTTTAGAAGTAGATGGGGGGAAAAACATTCAAGGGGACAACACGTCAAATTGTATAATGACTTCATGTGGAAGCAAGGGCTACTTCACATACTGGAATGACAGACAGTCCTGTTCTGGATAAAAACGTCTTCAGTTCCAGTCAGGATGTGGATAATCAAACTGAATGTGACAAATATTACACTAGCCTTACTGCTAATCCCCCTTAAAGACCATCACTATTTTCAAATCCAGACAATTTTAAAAGAATAAATGCATAGTGCTACCCAATGTTAGTATTTGGCTGGTCACCTTATATAACAAATTCGTTTACTCCCATTTTCAAATATTTATTCTTCTGCTTCTCTAAAATAATAAAAAGGAATTAACTTCATCTGGGCTCCTCAAAGATGCAGGTATTCATATTATCAATAGCTAATTGCAAGATCAAAGCTGGAATAAGCAAAGAACAAAACACGCAATGCATGATTACCTGCAGCTGTGGGATACCAGCATTACACTACTTATCCTTTTCAGTCATTTATTCTTATTTTTTCAAATTAAACAGACTACATCAAAATATTTCTTCAATTACATGGATTTGCTTTTTTTAGTTGCTTTTTTTTCTGTACCCCTCTTCCATTTTTATGCATTTCCTTTAGTGCAAATTACTTCCTTCAACAACCTTTAGCTTTTTCATAACGCTCTGTAAGTCAAGAGCTCTGAAAAAGTTCTGTCAAGGCTTAAGACAGACGGAAACTAACCATGAGTTGGTTTGAGCCTGACAACATAAATATATGAGGAGAGGCTGAGGAACCTGGCATTGCTTAGTCTGGTGAGGAAGAGACTAAGGGGCCCTGTTATTGCTGCCTACAGGTACCGGAAGGGGAACTATTTAAGACAATGGAGCAAAACTATGAATGAAATGTGAACTCTTGCAGCTGGAATGCAGTGGCCCCATGCAAAGGTGCAGGCCAGAGATGGACTGCCTAGATAGCAGCTCGGCACAAAAGGACACGGACATCCTGGTGGACAAGTTGAACATGAGTCAGTAATGGATCCCTGCAAAGATGAAGACTAACTGCATACTGGCCCACTTTAACAAGCACAGAGCCACCAAGTCAAGGGAAGTGCTTATTCTCCACTATCCAGCAGTTGAGAGCCTGCATCCGCGTTACTGCCTCCAGTTTTCAGCTTCCAGTGTGTCCTGGTTTTGGCTGGGATAGAGTTAATTTTCTTCCTAGTAGTTGGCACAGTGCTGGGTTTTGGATTTAAGATGAGAATAATGTTGGTAACACACCGATGTTTTAGTTGTTGCTAAGCAGTGCTTACACTAGTCAAGGACTTTTCAGCTACCCACGCTCTACCAACTGAGAAGGCTGGAGGTGCACAAGAAGCTGGGAGGGGACACAGCCAGGACAGCTGACCCAAACTGGCCAAAGGGACATTCCATACCACATGACATCATGCTCAGTACATAAACTGGGGAAAGCTGGCCGGGGGGGAACTGCTGCTCGGGGACTGGCTGGGCTTCGGTCGGCGGGAGGTGAGCAATTGCATTGTGCATCACTCACTTTGTGTATTCTTATTATTATTACTACTAGTAGTAGTAGTATTTTATTTCATTTCAATTATTAAACTGTTTTCATCTCAACCCATGAGTTTTCTCACTTTTACTCTTCTGATTCTCTCCCCAGTTCCGCCAGGGGAGGGGAGAGTGAGCGAGCAGCTGTGTGGTGCACGGGGCAAGAAGGGTTTGTGATAACAGATTAACCAGGGCATATTAAAGGAATTTATATCTGTTAACAATTGCAGGTTACAATATTGATTCATCTGTTCTCAATATTAGTTTCTGATCTGCATCATGCTCTTTTTTTGCTATACATGTTAAGTTTGGTGTTGGTTTTTGCAGTTTGCTGTGCTCTGCAGTGATTAGTAATGTTTTGCCTGGGAGATTTATTAAAACACTGGCCTTGAGCTTAATATGGTATTTGAGCTTTGTACTGAAGCTATTACTGTACTTAGGTAAAATTAACTCTATCCCAGCTGAAACCAGGACACAGTGCAACAGAGATGTCCACAAACTGGAGAAGAATCCAGCAGATGGTCATTAAGACAACTGCATAGCTGGAATATATGATATAAGAGGAAAGGTTGAGGGTACTAGGCTTGTTCAGCTTGGAAAAGAAGTTAAGAAGAAGATCTAATTGCAGTCTTCCACTACCTACAGCGATATTAGAGAGAAGACAGAGCCATACCCTTCTTGGAGGTGCACAGCAAGTGGACAAGTGGCAGGGGATAAAAGTTGCAACATGGAAAATTCCAACTGGACATAAGGAAAAAACCCTCTTCCCCATGAGAATGAGAAAAATCCTGTTCCAGTGCTTTGCCAGAGACATGCTGAAACCTCCACCCTTGGAGACACTCAGAACTCAACTGGATGACGACCTGGGCAACCTGGTATAGCCTTGCGGTTAGCCCTGGTTGGAGCAGGTCACACCAGATGACTGGATTGGACATCCTTCAGATGCTCCTCCCAATCTAAGCTATTCTATGACTCTGCTCAGTAATAGAAGGTGGTAAAACAAGGAGAGATGGTCACAGGCAACAGGCTTGGAAGGTTCACGTTAGATAGTAGGAAAAACTTGTTCACTGGGAGGATAATACAGAACTAGAACACCCACAAACAAGGTACAGGAAAAACTCAATTTCTGGACGTTTTCAAGACTCCACTAGACATAGCCATGGCTGCCCTGACATAGTTAGCAACGGCATTTTTTTCAGTCTATTTCCTCCATAAATTCAGGTTTATTTCCTCTTACATCACTAAGTTTCAGCATGAGAACCAAAGCAGGAAGCTGAAAATAACCAAAATAAGATTAAGGTGTTCAAATTCTTTTAAATGTGCTATTTCTTAAAGGGAACTGTTTCAAGAAACAAGTCTTCTCAGACTATGATCCTTCTGTTAGCGGGAAAGCCACATTATGAATACAGTACATTAGCAGTCAGACTGTTAATTACAGAGCAGAGACTTTATTAAATATCATCTACCAGAATTGTTTTCATATTGTCTATACGCTTGATTGTAGACAATATGATATAGACTTGACTATAAAGGATGCCTGTAACAGAAGCCATTAGAGTGATTTTCAAAATTTTAATATTATAGAAACAAGTTTGAGCTGGAAGGGAAAGTATAGTGTATCATCAAGTAAAGAATTTTCCCAAACATGTCTATTATCTTTACAGGTCCAGGATGAACTATGTTCATTTAAAAGCCATTATTTTGAACATCTCATTGTACGTTGTGTGTGCATATGCTCAGTACTATCCCCTTGAAATTCTGCAGTGCTTAATACTGCTCAAAGAGTATTCTCTATCATATTCTCCACTGCAGTAGCGAAGTCTTTCACAAGACTTGCTCTGCAACATCCCTATGGGATGAGGCATAATTTGTAAAATGGAAAGGAAGTGTAGCATAGAGACAACAGAAATTATAAGACAAACACTTACTGGTGGTGTTGTTTTGCCCCCGAACCCAAGATGAAAAGTGTACACAATGCAAATGCAAGGCTTTCAATGGTGCAGCAGGCAAGGGCAAACCCAAACCATTCCAGGATCTCTCCAAAGAAGTTGGCTCCACTGACATACTCAAACATTCCTCCTAAAAGCAGGACAGAGTTATGTTAAAAGCACCTTAATCAAGGAGATGTCCAATGCTATCTTTTACTGTAAGTGCAATAAGAGCTATATCACCAATGTCTATTCATATAATTTTAAAGGCAGTAGAAGCAATGTTTTTCAGTTCAAGCTGTACTATGAAGGATCACGTCAGACCTCATTCTAAGACAGACCTTCTCCAGCTCCATTTTTCCTCTCTAAATCATGGAAGAAAAGCAGATTTACCAGTATCAGAAGTGATTTCATGACTCTGTAAATAATTATTTAACAATGATATCAAGCTGGCTCTTTGATCATAAACTAAACTTCTTTTAAAATACGTAAATATAGAAAATATGCTCCCCTTTAAGAGCCACAGAAAATACTCCTAGGGTTAATTAGCATACAATGTTTAATTTAAGTACTTCAGAAATTAAGGTAGTTGTGAACAGTATTATTATTATTATTATGAATTCAAGTTCCAAATTCATCCTCTAGTTCAAAGCATGTTGCCCTTTTGTTCCTGTCCCCCATCAAGTCTACTACTTCAGCCCTGACACTCAGTGAAGTAAGTAATTGGCGGTCTGCATTACATGTGTTTTACAGCCAATTAGGCATAAACAGTCAGTACTCACCTGCTGGGAATTTTATAAAAGAAGAACTTTCACCCTAATTCCAAAGTTAGTGTACCAATTGATGACGTCTCAGGATGTGCTTTACCAGTAAGGCCAAACATATTTGCCAAGTGATAATAAAGGACATGTTTTGACCTTGCTTTAGTTACTTTGCTTTTGTGACAAAAGAGAGGCAGAAATCTAGCACTTAAATTGGATAAGCAATATCAAAAAGACCAACTCCTTGTGATTGTGCATCTTATTTCCTTCAGAACTTTTTGTACACTGAACATAGCACATTCTTACATGGGCACTTGGATTTACATCTATTAAAGATATGAAGTTATCCTCTTGGTGAAAAATAACTTATATATCTAGTTCTTTGTTTTATTAACAAAAATCTCACTAAAAACCAACACAGGGCAACAACGAAAGGAAAAACTCAGAGAAACAGCAGAATTCAGAGGTAACTATTATTTTTCTGCTCACACTGAGTATAATATACCTGGAAGAGTCTAATGCTTCCTGAAGTGTCAATAAGCATTAACACTTCAACAGGCTCCATAAGAAGTACTTTCAGTTTCTCCATTTTCCCATGAAGGCCAGAACTTTTAATGCCTAACTTCCTCTGGATTTCTGTCCTCTCTTCCCAGTATCTCCATTACCGCAGTAGTTGTTGCTCTCCGATTACCTAAGATCCCTCCCTCTTCATACATGGGACAACACAAGATGGGCCAGCCACACACAGTTGCATAAGTAGCTGAGTGCTTTCTGCCTGCCCCCCCTACTGGGATGATAATTTAAGTCTTCTTTCTCCACCCATCTGCATATTCTCATAGAAGTTGTGGAATGCTATGTTACATTTTTACCCCTTTTTAACAATACAGTCAAAGTTGGTCAAGAAATTCAAAGACTCACACAAACCACATGATATCATGAAATAGATCCTGCAGAATACTTGGCTTAAGAGGAAAAAAAATGAAACGTTTCCCACACAATGAAATAACTTCTTAAGGTAGACAACATTCCAGCTTCCTCTCTACCATAAATGACTATTTCCCCTAAAATGCACCAAGCTTTAGAAGGTCGTCTTTACACAGAATCATTTTAGGTTAGAATGGACCTCTTGAGATCGTCTAGTCCAACTGCCCCCAGCTCAAGCAGAGTCAGCTAGAGCAGGCTGCCCAGGACCATGTCCAGTCAGGTTTTGAGTATCTCTACAGATGGAGACTCCACAACCTTTCTGAGCAACCTGTTCCAGCGTTTGACCACTCACAGCAAAAATACATGTTCAGATGGAATTTCATGTGTTTCAATTTGTGCCCAGTGCCTCTGGTTCTGCCACTGGGCACCACTAAGAAAAGCCTGGTTCCCTCTCCTTCATTCCCTCCCATCAGGTATTTATATACATTGGTAAGATCCCCCTGAGCCTTCTCTTCTCCAGGCTGAACAGTCCCAGCCTCTCCTCATATGAGAGATGCTTCTTTTGCTATATAAATTTCTGTAATATTTTTACTCACCTCTTGGTATCTTGTAACCAGTTTCCCCTGGTTTTCTCAGATTTCTGAGAATATGATCAGAATGAATATTGATTGCCATGCCCATCAACCACCCTATAAAACCTGAAGAGAAATATTTAAAATAGTATCTTTAATACACTGAGCTGAAGTGCTTCATCAGAAAAGAAGCTACAGTCATATATCACATATTAGGCATATTATCTCAAAGCAGTAATAATGTACACTGTATACACGTGTCTGGTGACATCCCGCATAATCCCAATCCCACACTGAGCTCTTCAGTCAGCAGAGCTCACAGTAATCAATAGGTCTCTAGATAAGAGTAGTACTGTAAGTATAAAGTTTATTCTCATGTTGCTAGACTTATATAAAAGTATGCGTGTACATATATACAGATGTAATTGTATATTTCCCTAACTTCCACATAGAAAATCAAATACATAAAAATTTTAAACACCGAAAGAATCAGCCATTCTCATTCCTGTCAAAAGGACACATCTTGGTGTTGTCGTCCCCCCTTTTTTTTATACTGACAATATACCAGCATTTCCATAGCAGACTTCTTTGCAATAAAAGGAATAATAAAATTGCGAAGGAATTGTACACCATTTACTGTCCTCTTGTGTCATTTGGCAAGATGGCTTAACCAGTTATACCAGGTTTTCATAGAAACTGAGATTATTGTAGCATCCTGCACCCTTATGTCTTGTTGCCATAATTGCACGGGATAAATCAAAAGGAATTCAGGACTGAAATTCAGTATTTTCACCCTTCCATTTTGAGTCTCTGGCTACATTACCTATGCTATCTTCCTCTGAAGGCAGCATTTCTTCTTGCTAGGAGTAGACAACATTTGGGGTCTGATGGTAGATCTATTATGTTGCTTTGAATCCTCCTCCAAAGCCATTGAGTTTTATTTAAATTACCAAGTAAATGCTAGTGAAGTGCTTCTAGAACAAAGTCACTTCACACTCCAGATAAAGACAGCTTTGCCTTTTTGCGCCCATAACTTGAGTCTTTCAGATGGTTCTCTTTCAATACAGAGAAATCCAGTAGTATGACCATCAGCAAAGAGACTAAGTGAATATCCAGATGCATAAGGCCATGTGACAAGACCAGCAGGTTGTCAGAGTATACTTTACCAAGATAAGCTATAGTTTGAAGTGAAGCTACAGATGTAGGTGGACCTTGCCTCTCAAACAAGCTGTTAGATAGGCAGCTTTCTTCTCTCAATCCCTTGTGGGCTGCGTTTACCTAAAGGTCCTAGCTGTCTGCTTCCACGTGGATTAGGAGGAAATGACTGCTCTGCAGAGAAATTGAGGTTTCTGCATGAAAGCTCTTTCCATATTTACCTATGTAAATCAAAAATGTTGTTTGATTAGCTTGTTACAATCTGCTGACATTACAAGACTAGTAGCAGAATTTGGTCACGTGAACAAGCATGTTTCTTAACCTTTCGTTCATACAGCACAGTGCAGTAAGTTTCCATTAGCAATCAAGGTCTGTAGATGCCATATGCAAAGTGTCTTTTGTAGTAAAATTTTATCATAATCCTTTCAACTATATATTCAATGTAATTACACCATTATGAGATAGATTAGATCAACGTAATGAGGAGTTTACAGACCAATTCATATAATGACAACATTTGAAAACACAGGGTCAATAATTCAAATGTTGTTGAATTCTACTTTTAGGAAAACAGATCATTTTAACTTTTTCCTTCAAAACAGATGTCTATCCGAACAGAGAATATTGAACTCCCACTGCATCCAACAACAAAAATAGTTTGCCTCTCTTCACATTAGTAATTATGTATCCATTTGCTAATTGCCAGAGAAGATTGAGAAACCTTGAAAAACAAGGGATGTTATTCATGCAACTAAATAAGCAAGTCATTATCTCTATCCATACAATAATTTGAAAGGAAATTTCTTAACAAGCACACAGATTAATTGTACTTAAAGGTAAACAATATTTCTGCTAATTTACTTCAATATTAGCATGAGGAAAAATCTATACTGAAAGTCAGTTTCAGTTCTAGGAAGAATAATAAGTTTATTTCTCGGGAGAGGAAATGAGAGATCCTTTGACTTCTCTGAAATGCCACAGTAATTTTGGATAATGTTATCTGTGTATTCTGTGTTAGTATCTGTTCGTAAATTAGTATATGAACTACTAAGAACTTGTCAGATAATGCAAAGAGACTGGAGCTTGCTTTAAGAGTGCCCAATTACTCTAGAAGATTAGTTTGATTCTGTGCATTTTTTTACCCCTCCTATTTGAAAACTACCACATGTCAGAAGGAAACAATCAAATCTCTTTGTGGACAACAAGCCAATGAATGTAGGCTATTTTCACAGCATCCCTCTTCAGTTTGAAGATCCACTTTCCCCTGAAGTGCTGCATAACCACGTTCCCTGTGCCTATACTCTGTGGGCATTGTACTTCACTGTCCTCGCCCTCAGATTCTCACCATGGCTGAACCCTAGGACTGCACGCTGGGTATGCACCACGATCTGCATGACTTGGCTTCCACCTAAGGCAAACGCGAATATGTAAACAGGAAGGGAGCCACAGCGTGCTCCAGTGGATTCTCAGATCCACAGGATGCACCACATACTATAGATGACCTCACAAGACTATTAAACTCAAGAGGCTTTTTTCTTTCATCAGAATAAACCTGGAGATTAAGGATTGGGTTCATACTAGGAGAATACCTGTATAAGAAGGACAGTAACTAGGTCTCTATTGCCAAACAACCTACTGCAACAGAAGAGTATGTGCGCCTTGTTGCACCAGTGCCCTCTTCACCCTCGCCCATATAGAATCTCATGCAAAAAGACCTACTCTTGTTCTGCAGGCTATTTCACAGTGACAGTACGGTAACTGCTGTCTGGCTCACCTCCCCACTCCAGGTTTCAAGAATATGCAGTGCAAGAAGCTGTACAGAAACAGCAAAAGGCCAGCTTCTACAGCTGCGCTGAAAATGCCTGGTAGACACTTCAGGTGAACCAGTCCCTCATCTCAGATTGCGTGGTTAGTCTTTCAAGAAGGCACAAGATCATTTGAAACATCCAGATGCCTACAGATATTAGGAGAGACACTGACTAACCCACATCCCTCGGTCACAAGACCATATCCAGATATGGACAATGCCCATGCTCTCTTCCTGTCTGTTCTGTGTAGAGAGCAGAGGTGGCATGAGGTGTGCTTGGTTGCCTGACTGCCAGATAAAAAGCCTCACGCAAGAGACTAGGTGCTGATGTTCTGTCACCTGCACCTTCTGAGTTACAGGTACTGCTCTGCTTCGCAGCTGCTGCGAAGAAAAGTGTTTTGATGCACAGAAGGGTTAGCCATCAACATTAGAAGAAAGTAGTTGAATGGAGATTTAAAGGAGTAAGAAAAGACACACGGCATACTACAAAGTGTTTGATGAAGCTAAAGCAAGCAGAAGAAGGAAGGAGTTTCCAACTAGAACTGCAGACAGATTAGGAAAGAGCCCAAGAGTGAAACACACAGGTACATATGCCCCTGTTTGTAGCATTCACTGCTTCAGGGTATCATGGGTGCTCTTGGTAAGTTCACAAGCTTTTTACTGGCACACGCGCGTAAGGTACATGCTAAAAGTTTATGAAGTTGTTCCCACATTGGTTTGCAAGCTCGTGGTTTTATCAAGTGTTGTATTGCATTTGAAGCAGAACATTTCCATTTCCTCTGAAAACAGATGAGTTCACTGCTCTGAACTAAACCAACACACAGTCCGGAGAAACCATGAGGGAACCACATCAAAACTGTATTGCTGCTCCAAATCAATTACTGGTGTAGATATAAGATATTGCTTTCCCAGGATTAACTCCTAAACATCTGAAAACAGACAGTCAATCTGTATACTAAGGCTCCACAGAGAACACATCAGTTGTTTGAAACCTCTCCCACCATGATGGTTAATCAGCCTCACTTCTCCAAATTTCTGTCTTTGCTGCAAATTTATCTCATTTCAGCTCCCAACTACTAAACCTTGTTTGGCTGCTACTTGTGGACACTCTCCCATTTCTCTTCCACATGTAACTTCATAAGGACTGAAGAAATATCTTGCTAGCCCTCAGCAAATATGCTTTCTTGCTATTGTTATTTTCTAGTCTTCTACTCAATTATATTTTAGTCATTTTAAACAGAAGCTTAAAGACACTGCCAGATGTTTCTGAAGAACTAGAACATAATAGTCCAGTTGTTCAGAGAGTATCCAGTGTACAATACAGCACTTCTGCATTTGAGCTGACCAAAGCTACAAGCATAAACTGCAGATATTTGGAGGTACCTATCTGGGATGAATACCAAATAGCAATTGTAAATTTCCACTATGTTCCAATTATGTTGATGTGCACAACAAAACAAAAACAAAAAAGCCCAAAAGATATTCTAGTTACGGGAATAAAAGAAACAAGAAGTCTTAGGTTTGGCTGTTTCATAGCCATGCCAAACTTTAAAGATTTATTGTCATAACAGTCTCAAAAAAGCCAGCAAGTGACACTATTAAAATAGTTGCTACGTACACCAGGAATCTTCACTTTCTTAGTTTTCAGGATAACTTTTTTATAGCAATATTTTGACTTACAATAGTCATGAAAGCAACACTTTGCTTATGATTCACAGTACTGGAAATAAATACATATAAGCAGATATTCTAAACTGGTATTTGAAGAAAAAACCCACCAAAATAAAAAAAACAAACCCAAGCCAAACTAATTCATGCACAGAAGTATGATTGAATGCAGATGAACCTAACTATTATCATTTATACATTCACATCTTTCAGAAATCCTTGAAACTCAAAAAACCCAAGGAAACCTGAGCAACAGTCTTAATACCTTAATTTTTTTAAGATCTTTCAGTAAGGAAGAACTGATTTATGGCTCCTGAACTCATGATTTCTTTACAGCACTGTATTGAGATATCTTTCAATTAAGGCACTAAACTAGGGCACTGGAAACAAAGTCTGCATTGCCTCAGAGTCTTCAACAGTCTTGATCAACAGGTATTTTAATCAGTTTTTTGTTGGATCCAAGTTTAAGACAACTGGAATTGCAAAAGTACCAGGAGAATTTCAAGTATATCCAAGTGCCTAGCGCCCACTGAAGTCATTCCCTTGTACCTCAATTTCTCCATTTTTAGAGCACAAGCAGTACTGCCTCCTAATCTTGGCAAGAGAATATATTTTGATTTAAATATCTTCAATCATATAGTCATGACAGCATTTAGCACAGTGGTCCTCTATTGTCATCCGCAATAACACTGCAATAAAGAAAAACTTATTACTCTTGCTGTACAAGGCTTGAGAAATCTGGGAGAAACACTAACTTGCTCTGGCTTCAGAACAAGAACAACAGTACTGGGTCAGATCGAGGATCCACACTGCCCAGTATTCTGCCTTTGACTGACAAGGCAAAATATTCTGGTTTATCAAAAACATCTTTCTGTAAATTTTTCCTTGGAAAATGATACTATGTTTTTGACAGTAGGCAAAAGTAGATGCCTAGGAAACAAAAAAATAGGGCAATGACAATACTTTGTCACTAAACATCTTAGCCTTTTAATCATATGCATGGCTCCAGGTATAACTGTAACCCCAGTTACTCCAAGTAACCCCACTTCCTGAGAGGAGCGAATGATCAACCCCTCCACCCCCTTCCTTGTGGGCCAGTTTTGTTCTTTGACAAAGCCCACTCTCATTCCGAGGGTGGGTGGGTCGGTGCACGTGTGTGCATACCGCATGTGTGTGCACACGTGTAAATATCCTAACACCAAGGACTTTCGGCATTAGAAGTGGTATCTTGGTATTTAGCAGCTACCCTTACTGGATTTTTTACTCCATGAATTTGTTCACTTCTGTTTGACCGCGTACAAACCTTTAGTGCCTACGACATCAAGAAACGAGGGATTTCAGTTTAATCTACATGTTATGTGGAAGACCTGCTTTGTCTGTTCTAAACCTGTATGCTGCTGGTTCCATTTAAGGCCTCAAGTTCCTACATTGAAAAAAATACATGACCTATTTACTTCGGTGTTAAAGAATAAAGATGACAGTAAGCTCATCAAGCACTGACATCGTGGGAAGAAGTGTCAGTTCACAGTTCTACAATAAAAAAGGTTAAAAGGCTTCTAGCTACAGCAAACAAGACAACCATGAGAAAAGTTATAAACTGGGATTGAAGATACTATAAAATTATAATAAAAAATAAAAAGCTGTGAAGACAAGGAAAACTACACCTAAAGTTCTCATAACATGTTTTAACTCACCTGTAATGAAACATGGATCTTTTAACCATCCTGAAGGGTATTTTGCATAGTTGCTTAAGCTTCGGCCTTGCAAGTATCCATTGTAAACACAGAACAGAAGCGCTAGCACAAAAGTGAAAAATGGTGTTGGTTTTCCTTCCCTGATCAGAAGAGGAAATATGAGTGCCCTATAGCGAACAAGGAAACAAATTGTTGCATTATCAAACAGAAAAGACACTTTTGATGTCCAAAACTGCAATCCATAGTCCATATTATCCTGCTTTTCACATTCTCAGCAGTCTTTGATCCCAGTTCAGAAGGACAGTTACACTTGCTTTAACACCTAAACATTAATTCTGTTGCCTAATCAGAATTACAAGATCAGTCCTCTCTCCCTTTCTAACAGAATTTTTGAATTTTGTATCCAAGGCAATTACTTTGACAGAGCAGTAAAGGCAACTGATGTTGAACACAGCGTATTTTTGTCCTCCTTTGTTCCTAAATCCTCAGCGGTATCATCAAGCCTTCCGAAACAAGCCAGGTCTCACAATCCCTACACCAAACCCACCAGCACTTCCAGGGGGGAAGTCAATCCCCTTGAAATTAACCTAATTGAGCTCAGTTTCCTCCTTGCCCCAAAAGTCACTTAAAAACACTAATTGCTTTGCCTTGACAATCTTGGTCTACCCTATGACACCTGTTAAAGACATGACAAATCCACAACTGCCACCCCATTTGGGAAAGGAATCTTGATTACTTTTCCCAAGGGATTACGTGGGCAAACAAACACGCTCCAAACAAGAAAAGCAGGTGAATGTTTCTGTGCTCTGCCCCATGTAACTAGCCAACTCCCTATCACCTATCGATTTAATTACAATGTGTAATGATACAGGAGCAGGATTATTGAAGCCTGAGTGTTCTTCACGTGTTTCCTAGCTACCCGGGGGAATCACTGCTTCAAAGGAGCCTTTCCAGAGGATGCAAAACCATAACGGCTTTCAAGAAAGCGTAACAAATTCATTAGTATGGTTATTTAAAGCCAGTTACATTACAACAAATGGAACTGGATAACAGAGGTCTCTTCCAGTCTACGTTCACCTACAGAACAGTCCCTCAGCCCAGCAATAGCAATAAACAACTGGAAAAAAGAAACTGTGGTACCGCTCAGCTTTCTGTACAAACCCTTGCCTTGCATTTCTAGCTTTTCCCAGACATCGAGGATGAAGATACTATAAAATTATAATAAAAAATAAAAAGCTGTGAAGACAAGGAAAACTACACCTAAAGTTCTCATAACATGTTTTAACTCACCTGTAATGAAACATGGATCTTTTAACCATCCTGAAGGGTATTTTGCATAGTTGCTTAAGCTTCGGCCTTGCAAGTATCCATTGTAAACACAGAACAGAAGCGCTAGCACAAAAGTGAAAAATGGTGTTGGTTTTCCTTCCCTGATCAGAAGAGGAAATATGAGTGCCCTATAGCGAACAAGGAAACAAATTGTTGCATTATCAAACAGAAAAGACACTTTTGATGTCCAAAACTGCAATCCATAGTCCATATTATCCTGCTTTTCACATTCTCAGCAGTCTTTGATCCCAGTTCAGAAGGACAGTTACACTTGCTTTAACACCTAAACATTAATTCTGTTGCCTAATCAGAATTACAAGATCAGTCCTCTCTCCCTTTCTAACAGAATTTTTGAATTTTGTATCCAAGGCAATTACTTTGACAGAGCAGTAAAGGCAACTGATGTTGAACACAGCGTATTTTTGTCCTCCTTTGTTCCTAAATCCTCAGCGGTATCATCAAGCCTTCCGAAACAAGCCAGGTCTCACAATCCCTACACCAAACCCACCAGCACTTCCAGGGGGGAAGTCAATCCCCTTGAAATTAACCTAATTGAGCTCAGTTTCCTCCTTGCCCCAAAAGTCACTTAAAAACACTAATTGCTTTGCCTTGACAATCTTGGTCTACCCTATGACACCTGTTAAAGACATGACAAATCCACAACTGCCACCCCATTTGGGAAAGGAATCTTGATTACTTTTCCCAAGGGATTACGTGGGCAAACAAACACGCTCCAAACAAGAAAAGCAGGTGAATGTTTCTGTGCTATCACCTATCGATTTAATTACAATGTGTAATGATACAGGAGCAGGATTATTGAAGCCTGAGTGTTCTTCACGTGTTTCCTAGCTACCCGGGGGAATCACTGCTTCAAAGGAGCCTTTCCAGAGGATGCAAAACCATAACGGCTTTCAAGAAAGCGTAACAAATTCATTAGTATGGTTATTTAAAGCCAGTTACATTACAACAAATGGAACTGGATAACAGAGGTCTCTTCCAGTCTACGTTCACCTACAGAACAGTCCCTCAGCCCAGCAATAGCAATAAACAACTGGAAGAAAGAAACTGCGGTACCGCTCAGCTTTCCGTACAAACCCTTGCCTTGCATTTCTAGCTTTTCCCAGACATCGAGGATGAGTTAAGATCCCATGCCAAAGCTAACCTCTTTACTCTTAAGAATGGAAAAAGAGGGAGTAAAGACACACTCCTGGGTTTGCAAAGCCAGTCAGCCACCGGGCCAACCATACGCTGCATCCCCCTCGACCGCGAGGGCATGGAATGCTTTTGGGTCAAAAGCAACAGCCTCTTGCGATAAGCACTGGCAAACAGCCACACAGCCGGCTTAAAATCAGCCTGACAAATCTCTCTCTGCTGTATTAGTATGGTGGCAAAGTTACTTGTGGAGCGTTACCAGTAACTATTGTCAATGACTTGAAGGGAACAGCAAAATCCTACCTGAGCTCCAGCTAAGCTGCCTTCTCCCGACCACTTACACGGAACAACCAAATACCATTGACTACATGGCAGCACGGGGCACTCGGCCTCAGCTTTGCCGCATTTTAATGAATCATTGAATATCCTGAGCTGGAAGGGACCCACAAGGATCATCGAGTCCAACTCCTGAAAGGAACGCTACCTCAAAAGATATAATTGGAAAATAGCTACTGTTTCACAGTATTAAAATCACATTATATCAGCATCCGGAGCTGAACTTCCCCTGTTGGAACACTGTCCTTAAGACCACCCGGTCAAGTCATTGCTTAAACGGGGGTCATCACAAGAGCTACAGCTATCGCGTACAGCTGACACGGCACACTGAGGGAGCACCCAACGCTCCGTTTTTATGCCATTTCCAAAAGGCGCCGTAGCACTCCACCCCACACCACACTGCAGCAAAACAAAGCAGGAAGCACCGCACCGCCACAATCACTGGCTCAGCTCATGTAAAAGCATAGAATAACTTAATGGAAAGCAGCAGCAAATACTGCAGAGATTATTAGAGCGAATAATTACAGTTACCGAACAGCAGAACCTCTATCCCCGCAGCCGGATAACAGCGGTCAGGCGCTTCTATCAAGATTGACCCCGAACTGCCACAGACCTGCACCCCTCCTGCCAT